AAAAAAAAAAAAAAGAAACATGAATACTTATGGATAAATATATGAAAATATGTGCAAGAGCTGTAAAATAAAAAGAAAACTATAAAACATTGTTGAGAGAAATTAAAGAAAATCTAAATAAATGAATCCATGTTTTTGGATGAAAAGGTGATCCAAATTGTTAAGGTGTTAATTCCTTCCAAATTGAGCTACAAATGCAGCACAGTTCCAATCACAATCCCAGATTTTTTTTTTTAATTTACAAGCTGACTCTACAAGTTTTATGGGAATGCAAATGACCTAGAATATCAAAACAACATTGATAAAGAAGAAGAAAGTTGAAGAATTTACCCTATCTGATTTTACAATGTTAAAGTTATAGTAATCAAGACAGTGTGGTATTGGCATAAGGATGGACATAGAGATCAAGGAAGCAAACAGGGAGTTTAGAGATACACCCACACATATATGGTCAACTGATTTTTGACAAAAGTTCTAAGATAATTCAATGAGGAAAGGATAGCCTTTCAAAAATGGTGGTGGAACAATTGGCTATCCAGATTTAAAAAAAAAAAAAGAGCTTGGATCCTCCACCCTATACACAAAAAATTACTCCAAATGTCATATGTAAATTAAAATGCTGAAATGTAAATCTTTTAGGAAAAAAAAAAAACTGATCAGACAAAGATTTCTTTAAAAGAATACAAAAAGTACAATCTATAAAAATTTGATAAACTACTTCATCAAAACTTAAAGCTTTTGCTCTTTGAAAGACATCATTAATAAAAAGGTAAGCCAGAGACTGAGAGAAAATATTAGCATTACATGTATCTGAAAAGCAATTTGTATTCAAAATATATAAAGAACTCTTACAAATCTATAATAAGAAGACAAACAACCCAATTTAAATATGGGCAAAAGATTTCAAAAGAGACTTTACAGGGATATGTGAATGGTCCATAAGCACAGGAAAGATGTTCATTATTCATCAGGGAAATGCAAATTCAAGCAAAAATGTGTTATCATTACATACCCCTAAAATGGATAGAATTAAAGAGACTACCAATAACCATTATTGATTAAGATGTGGAGCAAATGGAACTCTTATCCATTGCTGAAGAAAATATAAAATAGTACAACCTTTTTGGAAGACAGTTTGACAGATTCTTGTAAACTTAAACATGCACTCATCATACATCACAGCCATTTCACCCCTAGGTCTTCACCCAAGTGAAATGAAAATCCATGTGCACACAAACCTGCACACAAATGTTGTGTGGCTGTTTTGTAATTTGGGAAATAATCAAGTTTCCCTCAACTAGAAGATGGCTAAGAAAACTATGATAATCCATATTCAGCAATAAGAAGGAAAAAACTACTGATGCACACAACAACTGGGACAAGTTCAAAAACTTAAGCTGAGTGAAATGATTCAGATACAAAAAGGTACATACTATAAAATTCCATTCATATGAAACTCTTAAAAAGACTGCGTATAGTAATAGATGGGAGTTCTGGTGGCATAGTGCCTAAGGCATTTCATTTTCATTTTAAAACCTTCCAGCCACTCCTCAGAAG